GGTGGGTGTGTGTGTGGGTGTGTGTGTGGGTGGGTGTGTGTGTGTGTGTGTGTGTGTGTGTGTGTGTGTGTGTGTGTGTGTGTGTGTGTGTGTGTGTGTGTGTGTGTGTGTGTGTGTGTGTGTGTGTGTGTGTGTGTCTCTGAATGTGCATGTGGAGCCTAGATGACATCATTGGGTGTCTTCCTCAATCACACCCACGTTATTTTTTGAGACAGGGTCTCTCACTGAACCTGGAACTCACCAATCAGGCTAGACTAACCTGCCAAGAAGCCCCAGAAATCCTCCGTCTTTGCCTCCCCAGCATTAGGCTGACAAGCAAACCATGTAAAACGTGCTTGGCTTTTTACATAGGTCATGAGGACTCAAACAGATCCAGACGCTTGTATAGCAAGCACTTTATGGAATGAACCATATCCTTAGTCTGCTCTTTTTAGATACTCTAATATTTATGATACAGAAACATTTTGTACGTACATTCATGGACATATAGGAGGTGCTCTTTTTCCTGCAGGTACACATGTCTTTGGAGGCAAGACGTCACCCTTGGGTGTTGCTCCTCAATCATCTTGCTTCTTTAAACAGGGTTTCTCACTGTCAAACTGCTTAGACTAGGCTGGTTGATGTGCAAGCTCCAGAGATCTACCTCCCTCTGCCTCCCCAGCACTAGGGTCACAAGCATGCACCACGAGGTCTGGCTCTGTGTGTGTGCAAATGTGCTGTGTGTACACATCCATATGGAGCAAGAGGCTGATAGTGTCCTTTAACAATTCCACCTTGTTTTTTGAGATAGGGTCTCCCACTGAACCCAAAGCTCACTGACTTACCTAGACTAGCTAGCTAGCAAACTCAGGGGATCCTCCTATTTGCACCTCTGCAGAGGAAGAATTACAGGTGTTCCCACCACTCCTGGCTTCCTATGTGGATACTAGGGAACAGTATATTCAGGTCTTCGTGCACACATGGCAAACACGTTAGTGATACACTAAACTATCTCCCCAACCCACAACCAGCTTTTATATGGGTCCTGAGAACTGAACTCAGGTCTTCATGCTTGTACGAGCACTTACCCTTCATGCTGGCTCCAGTCCATGAGAAACATCACTTAGCACAGAAACATCTGCAGTAAAAAGCTGACCACCATGAAAGCCACGGTTCCTGGTTGGGAGTTGATCCACATCCTCACCCTTCTATCTCAGATCCCTGAAGTTAAATGTCACACCAGGATGTCTGGAAACCAAGTCACCTACATAAATATTGTTGTATAGTTTAACTATACAAAATAGAGAATCCAGGTATTTGTCATGCTTTAAATATTAGATATTTTAATTGTGAAATTTAAGTTAACCCCCCCCCAAAAAAAAAACAAAATGAGAAGGCTGTTTTATTCTAGACCTGTCCATTCCCAGCATGCTAACTGTTCTAAGTCCTCATTTCATATTTAAAATGCAAACCTCTGTAAACGCCAACAACCAGGGTCAAGATGGGCCTGGACTTGACCTGGAAGGCAGAGCTTGCTTTCCCAACAGCATCAGGAAACTGTCAGAGTTCAGGAACTGCAGACTGAGCCTGTGGGCAGCGGGATCAGCAACAGGCACGGGTGAGACAAAGGATGGAAGACTACAAGCAGGACATGGTCTGCGTGTGCCCTGGTGAGGAGCACAGGGGGTAACATCTCATCACTCAACCTGAATGAAGCTCCGGTGCCAACTCTGTGGCAGCTGCTGGGCATGCAATTAGTTCAAAGAAAACAGTGTACAGAAAAACTTTTGTTCTCAAATGGCTGTTGAATTTATTTCCTTGATCAATATTGATCCTGGCAAAAGTTAGTTAACCAACATTGAGACATTTGTAATGAAATACTAATTTTAAAAACCCATGATACCTTGAT